TGGAAAAATTAAGGGCAGCAGTCATCTCAGAGGCCTACGATGGCCACTGAGGCAAGCATGGACTAATAACGAAATACGTGTATTTTATAACAAGTGTTATGTCATCACGACCCTCTAAAATTCAGGATCCTTTGCGGTAACTTCTAGATCTATGTTAGTGGCAGCAGCAGGAGGCACATGGCGGACAAACAGCAGCAACACGTTGGCTGCATGTTCAGAGAATTAAAAATGGAAGAGCTACGAACCCCGTGGCGGTGTGTGTCCTCACTCGGCCGCTCTCTGCTCTCCCGCTGACTGCACCACACTTTCTGAACAGCCTCTGGCTCCGACAGAAAACACAGAGAAATGGGCCAAGAGATGTGGAGAAGGAAGGTGCCGCCACACCACCATCTGCTGGGCCTGGGCCGGAACAGCCCGCACAGCATCCTCACTGTGAGGCAAAAAAAGGCTCGTTTTCACCGTCGTTTAAGCACAAAATAAACACACAAGATTAAAAAATATACACAGAAATATTACCGTTAGAGCAAGCTGAGTTTAGAGCCTGGGTTCAGCTTGGATCTGAGGGAGCAGGAGAGGTTATTTCAGGCTACGGCATCATCCTTCCCAAATGAGGGCAGTCTCCCTCCATCCCTCATCAGCATCACTCCTCCTGCTGCTGCGCCGCATTAGCCTCGGCTAACCCCGGACTACACTTCCAAACCCGGCCGCCTGGCTACCGTAGCGCTCTGTGGGGACATAATAAAAGTAAGACAAGCTGAACATGAGAGCTGTGTTCGTGTGTAACCGTAGCTGTGAGCCGCCTGCTGTCAGTTACAGGGACTTTAGCTAAGCTAGCTGCGGCTAATGCTAGCAAAAAAATAAAAAATAAAAAATGTTCCAACGGCTGCATGAGAGGGTTTTTTGTTTTTTTAGTTTTTATTCCTGAACCCTAAAAAAAGCCACGTTTTAAATGTCAATGTAAGCTCACCTTCTTGTCCACTTTGCCCCCTGTTTAGATGCCCAGTGTCACAGTGAAAGACGTGAACCAGCAGGAGTTTGTCAAGGCTTTATCAGCCTTCCTGAAAAAGTGAGTAAAACACAGCAGCTGCACTGAAATGACTGGACACAGGCTCACAATATATACATGTCTTTATTTATTTACAGCTCAGGCTAAAGAGATTTTTATGTAAATCTTTTTATTTAAATAAAAATAACATGGAGGTGTTAGTCAGTATAATTTACAAATTAATAATATGTATATTAAAAAAAATATTTAAAAAAATCTGACAGGTCTAACAGATGTAGAAACGTCCCATAATGCTGTGCAAAAAAAAACTCCCACTAAATTCATTATTGCAATCATATGGACCAACAAGGACAAATAGTGTTTTTGTAATTTGAATCAATTAATTAGATTTTACTTATTTAACTTTCCATGCAAATTGGGTTTAAACTAAAATGCTTTACAGAATAAAAATAATTTTAAAAAAACAACAACAACAACAAGGGCTCAGTAAAAACAGAGACTGAAGAAACGCTATCGAAAAAAAAAAACACCAGAGGCAGAACAAGTCAGAAGTCATGGGAGCAAAATCAAACAATTATGTATATAGATTTTTTAAAAGTGATTAAAGGGTAGAAAGAATAGATGTATACATTGATAGAATAAATCTACGATCTACGGCAGCAAAAATACAAGAAGAGATCAATAATAATACAAATATCGACTTACAATAAAGCAAGAAAAAGCAAAAATCTGAAGAACTAATTACTACGGATTCAGACATAAATATTACCTTTAAAGTGTTTTGAACCAAATTTACCAAACTGAGGAGGAGACAAAGAATTTGAATTAAAAACCTGGATACAAAAAGCGACCTTGGAGGTAAAGTGTGCTGCAGAAAGCTGTGAAAGGATCAAACAGGCTTCATAAAAAGTGTAAATGCTGGATGTTGGCTGCAAAGTATGGAGAGTAAATGACAGTAGCAGCCATTGATGAGCGACACTGAAGTCAAGAGGGGTTGATGCTACTTTACAGACATCCTCTGTCTAGTGTCTCTATTATCGCCGATTTCCCACCGTTTTGTTGGATTTTGTTATTTAGAAACGGTACGTTGCACATGTTTCACTGCGCATATAACCATTTTTATTGCGCTGTGTTATTCCTGATTGCTTTTACAACTCATAAAAGGTTTACTTTTTGGTTAACGGTGGTTGTTTAATCACGTTTATACCCAAATATGCATCAATATAGGGAAAGAGGAAGCTCCAGCAGTTCCTCGCTGATGCCAGGAAATCATCGATATCACTGCACCCAGTCCACGAAACATTATTAATAACGCCACAGGTTCTGAAAACAAAGAGGATGCCAAGAGGATTTGCTTCAGTTTATGTACACTACATGCATACAACAGCTTTAAAGCTGCTCATATTTGCTATTCACGTCTTGTACCTCCACTGCTGTGACACTTTTCCCTGCATGGGATCAATAAAGTTTATCTTTGCTAATAAATCAGTCACAGCCTCTTTGAATAAGAATTAGGTTTGTGGGTAGATTGATGTTCTTTTAAAGGAAATTAACAACTTAGGGCTACGTTCAGGCTGCAGAATTTTAAATATGTGCTGAAAACACACAATACAAACTGCACTTCACAGCTTCAGTGTCACTTAAAACACATTTTAGATGAAGCACTTCTCTCTGTTGAGGCTTCAAACCTGCCTGTTTCCATACCGGTGAATCCAACACGGACGTCGTTGCTATAATTAGACGTATGTGTTCAACGTATTTATGTGCCATATGCTGTTTAAGGAAACGGTCCAGTCAGTTGATTCATCACTTCAACTGAGAATTGTTTGTCTTTTTTTTTTTTCTTCAGATCTGGCAAACTTAAAGTCCCAGAGTGGGTCGACACGGTGAAGCTTGCCAGGCACAAAGAGCTGGCGCCCTGCGATGACAACTGGTTCTACACCAGAGCAGGTCGGTTCTATGCATTAGTCCAGCCACGTGCAGCTGAAATTATGAATCCCTTAGTTTACCCGTTCTTTTGTGTCATTTAGCAGAAATGAAGAACATTTAGCCTCCAGCATGCAGACGTGCAGCTTCTTTCTGTGTCACTGTTTTAGTCAGACTATATACACAAATATAGACTGAACCAAATTAACCAAACAAGGAACATTTTACAGGAAACAATGCGGAACGTGATTATTGATTTAATCAGCGAGATGAAATGACATGTTTAATCATCGTCTTGTGTCACAGAAAAAAGATGTTTTATATATTTTACATGTCAAAGATCTTGTATACGAGGTTGGCTAAAATAGTTCTCTGCCTGAAAACAAGCGGCACAACTCCTATTTTGGGGCATAACTGTATACGATAAGGCCTTATGTCACAAAAACTAATTTCTTTGCAGATGACGCCCTTTAAAAATCGGTAGGTTAGAGGGAAACCAAAAAATGGACAAGAAAGAAGCCAGAGCTGGACGCTGTGTGTTGGACATAGGGCAGGGTGTTATGGCCAAAAATATAGCTTGTAGCGGCGGGTGACTCTTCGGACTGACGAGGTGGAAGTGGGCGGGACTCACAGGCAGTACTTGGCTGCTGATGCCAGTTTAGGATAGCGGTCACAGCTCTGTTTCCACTATCAGGTGGTGGTGGCAGTGGCAGGCGAATATTCAGATCTCAAAATTGCTATCCGGACACCACCACAACAACCGAATATTCCGATATCCGGGTCCAGCCCTACTGTGTTGGTCAATGCACCGCATTCGCCCTCCTCCTCGGTCACTGCCATGCTTCTCGCTCCATGTGCATGAGACCGGACAAAAACAACGGCACTGTGCATGCACGTTTCACTAACATTTTATCGCGATATTTCAATTTCATGTCATCCCCTAACGTTACACCAGTATTACCGTGCACAGTAGGATATGGCCCAGCCCGAGTTGGACAGTCACATGTCTATCATTCATGACCATGCGGTGAATGGCCTCCAGTTGATCGTCCATGGTCGCTGGTTTTGGACATTGTGGATCACCTTGGTGGTCTCTGAAATCAGATACTCACTTCTTTACGGTTAAATAGCAGCAGGAGTCCAAGTGTCAGGTCCTTGGGGGTCATTCCCTTTAAATGCAGATACTTGATCACAGCTCTGGCTTCTTTCTTGTCATTTTTTTTTGGTTTCCTCTCACCTGCTTATTTTTAAAGGGCGTCATCTGCAAAGAAACAATATTAAACGTTTGGCTTTTGTGCAAAGTGATATAAAGATTTATGTTGTGCCACAAAATGGAAGTTACAACCTTTGTTTGTGGGTAAGGCTGAGATCTCTGCCCTCATAGTTCTCTGTTATAGAGCTTTTAAAAAATTTGGTTCCAGGAAACCCCATCTACACTCTAACGTCTATATGTCAGTCTTGCACAGCGATAAATCTTGGCTTATCTCAAGCTTTTTCAGGTGGCTGTGTGATCATATACAAAGAGTTGCGACATATTCGTCAGGCCTTTCACAAGTAGATCTCCCAAAACGGCCACAAAATATACAATGAAAGCACATGTACACAGTCCCTTGGGCAGATGTAATGTTATCTGCTGAGGCGTGTTGACCCGCCAACAATGTCACGCCAGCTGGAATGTTTGGCTTCATGTCTTTCGGGTGAATAAGTCGTGAAGGTTGCAGGCGCTAAAACATACGAGCACATATTGCAACATGTGACCTGAACATGCGTCTGCAGCGTCCACGGCCCGTCACCTGTACCTGCGAGGAGGGGTGGGCGTCGGCTCCATGATCAAGATCTACGGCGGGCGTCAGAGGAACGGCGTCTGCCCCGCCCACTTCAGCGTGGGCTCCAGGAACGTGGCGAGGAAGGTCCTCCAAGCTCTGGAGGGCCTCAAGATGGTGGAGAAGGACCCCAATGGGTGAGTATGAGGAGCAGACACTGAGGTGGTGGTTTTAATAAGTGATGGATGTTTTTTATACATCTGTGCTTGCAGTGGTCGGAGGCTTACCCCTCAGGGCCAGAGAGACCTGGATAGGATCGCTGGTCAGGTGGGTTGTTGCACTTACACAGACTTTTTTTTGCTATTTATTATTTCTTTAATTACTTAAAGTGCGGGACTTTTGTCTCCACCTTCTGGCAGAGAGTAATTACATACAGTTGATGCATTAAGACATATTTTCCTTTTTTTAGACTGTCCTCTACAGGCCGAGATTTTTTATCTGAAGCAAACTTTTCTTAGATGCTTCCTAGAGTCTTCTGCAGTACATACTCTGAGCTGCTGTACTCTACTCCGCCTGTATCCCTGCCAATGCGCCATTGCAGGAGTGTCGCCATATAAATCTGATTTTAAACCCCAGTATAACCTGATTCACTTAAATCAAATTACATTTCTTACAACTAAGCCAACGGCCATTTAGAATGGAGAGTGGAAGTCAGCAAAACCAGAAAATGCAAGTATGTGGAGGGAAGTTTGTGTGCTGTGGAGGTGCTGAACACAAAAGGTGGAGGTAGAGAGAGTGTGAACACATAAGGCAGCTGCTTAGGCCCTGTTTACACATGGACACCATTTTACTTGTTCTCTACTCTAACACCACATTTAGGAGCAGCTCCACTTCTCTGTCGGTCCAAACAAACGACCCTTGCCCCATTATCGTTGAAGTAACAGGAAATAATTCATGCCATTCGTTGTTGTGTTTTTTTCCAGGATTCTGATTGGCTAGCATGGCTGTATGCTTCTCGTTACACTGCCCCCTACAGGTTTGGCAGCTCATAGCAGCTCTTAACAACATGTTTGTGTAAACTAAGATTTTTTTGAAAACGATCTGGTGTGAACAATGTTATTTTTGAAAACGTAGCTCCGTTTTTGTGAATACCCAGCTATGTGTAAACATGGCCTTAGTCTGGAGAACTCAGGTGAGGCGCATATTATCAGCCAGTAGCCCTCTCAGGTAGATTGACTGTGGGAGGGGCATCACCACAGAGAGATTTTTCCTGATGTGAACTCCTTTGGTGGTCATCTGACAGGTTTTTAGGAAAAACAAACAGAACCCATGAAAAATACCCTTAACATCCGGACAGCCTTGGATTCTGACTCCGACATGACATTTTATGTCACAAATCAGGATAATGGCGTACTATCTGACTGAACAAACCCACAGATTGGCTACATTCAGACTGCAGGACTTGATGCTCAATTCAGATTTTTTTGTGAAATCCATTTTTTTTTGCAAGTTTGTTCACATTTCCAGTTAAATGCGACTTGTATGTGATCTGCTGTGTGAACTTCATACGACCCAAAAGTGTCCCGCATGCACAGAAGAGGACACGACGACGTCCCACGCAGCGAGTGCGCTCAGTGTTTGCGGAAGTGAACATGGATGGTGGCGGTGGTGATGGTGGAAACAGAACTGGGACCATTATCCTAAACTAGCATCAGCAGCCAAGTACTGCCTGTGTGTTCTGGCCACTTCCACCCCGTTAGAGCGCTGCCCCGGGGTGGAAGTGTCCCCCGACCGCTCCGAATATTCTGAGATTCGTCACTAATTGGGCCTGAATATCCAGAGAGCAGAAAGTGCTATTGGGACCAGCCCTACTAGTTATTATAACAACTATGAACAATAAATATTAACAACTAATGAGCCTTCCAGCATCAAGCCCTCCTTGTATCTCGACCTCCGTCTTGACAATCCGACAGCCTTGCTATCCGACATAAAAGAAGGTTTTACATTTAGCGTCAGATTATCGAGTCACGACCGTATTTAGAAAATTAATTCAAAACTGTGGAGAACACAGAGAACAAGGCAGCATCGTGCTTTGTGTTGTTTTTCCATCTAGAAGACAGAATTAATTTGATTTCCTCTAATGTACGCTAAAGCCCTGTCATGGCAACGAGCATATATACTGACAGTATAACAACTATATAATTAAGCAGCTCTAAAAAGTGGCAATGGCATTAAAGGACTTGTCATAACATGTCAATTTTACAACACGTTTTTTTAAATATAAAACGCTAAGAGGACTAGATAAAATGCCAAGAAGAATACTAGGTGGCTCTTTATATTCATTTTTCAGACACTTTTGCTTTAAGTGTCTTGCAAAGAGATGTTTGAAACGCATGCAAATGTTATGATTGCTGCGCACTTGATTAAACCCTCTTGTCATGTCTCGGTGTGCACATCCTCTCCTCACGTCCTCCCGCCGGAGACGCAAGTGGAGGAGTCAAGGCAGCAGGCGTTGAACAAATACAGACGTTCGCATTCGTCTCAGAGTTAAATGTAGCTGCACCATCAGCCCAGTGTGTTGTCACAGCCTGACACTGTAGTTATGATCGCGGTCGGATAACTTACAGTATATATGTGCACGTAATTCAGCTCACAGCGTGTCATACTGTGAGGATAATGTACGGATGTCATGCATGTTTTCATTTATTTTACACAAACACGTGCCATTTAGTACAAAACACAAAATACTCCTACACAAACTGACATATATAATAAATGAGTTATATCTATTATCTACATGTTTGTCAGTCCTGTTTTATCGTGGATACCAAAAAGATTTCAGCAAAAGCTACACCTGAGCATCCTCGCTCATAGCTCCAGCCTCCTCTCTCCTCCAGATACATTTTAAATTTAGAACTAGTTATCCATCAGGAGTGGCTCCCTCTTGTGTTCTTTCCCAGATATTTTCCTGTGTTTGTATTTTCCCGGCCGTGTTGCATATTTACTGACATCCCTGTAATATGTTTTGTGACCAGTGTGCATGCGTTCCTGTTCGTGGCGGCCGTGTGAGAATCCCCCTCTGTGTTCTCTGCCTCCTCCTTTGTTTAGGTGGCCTCAGCAAACAAGAAACAGCGGAGTTTACAAAGCGCCATGTGAGGAAAAGCACGCCAAGAATCCAGACATGTGAAACGCAGCTATGCCTTACTGCTTATTTACTCGAGTTGGCTTGCCTCCCATATCAATCCAGTGACCGCAGAGTGCAAACGGCGTTTCATAGAGATGCATGAGTCTATAGTGCAGTGAGTCCAAAATTAAACATTACACGTGAATGTTTGCATCAGTTTTAGGTTTGTTTGAAGTTCTGTGATAGTAAAACACAGAACAGACACAGAAACACTCAGAATACAGGATTATGAAGCGAGAGCATGCTACCAAAAAGATGTGAAGCTGTGAAAAACTGTGAACTGCAACATATCCAAACACACATTTTTTATTTCCATTGTTGTGTTTTGCAGAATGGAACATGTTATGAATGAGATGTGTGAGGATAGCACAATAATCCAGAGTGTTCCCAATAAACTGAGCATGAGCACCGACTCTGGTGTCCTAATGTCAGCTTGTGCGAGGACTGCGGGCGTTTAGTTGTTGCTCATGGTGCTGCTGATCCAGCTGTTGTAGCGGCACACGCGGGCGTAGACGCTGGGGTGTCCCTGCATGGCGCAGTCATAACCCCAGGACACGACTCCCTGCAGCTGGCCGCTGCACACCAGAGGACCGCCAGAGTCTCCCTGCAGGCAGAGGAAGTGGAACAGTGGCTTGAATGATGCTGTGAGCGGCCACAATAAATATACTTTATGGTATGTCGAAGACGAGTGGTGGGAGATGCACATTTTTGTATTGTTGGAGCAACTTGACACCAGGCTTAAAATCAATTTCAATGCCCTGTCTGGTTCAAAGTTTCAGGTCTGTTAAGGTGCTTCGTTGCACCTGACAGTGATGTCACAGTGTCCAGTGACCTGTATGAGACTTCAGCAAGGAGAGAAGCCTCTGGAGAGCAGCAGAAACATGATGTTCAGGAATGGCGGGGGGGCTTTTTGCCTTTATTTAGAGCAGTAGAGTTAGACAGGAAAGGAGGGAGAAGAATGGGGGAAGGACTTGTAGCAAAGGGTCGTAAGCGGGAGTCCAACCCAAGACCGCTGCATCGGGGAACTATAGCCCCTGTTCATGGTTTTCCTGCTCAACTAGGTGAGCTGTAGTGGCGCCCCAAGTCACTTTTTAACTAGGAAAATGGTACATTCTCAGCATGAAGTTATTGATATTTACAACCATGTGATAAAATAGTCTTTCCCCATCAACTACACACCGCTTAATCGTCACTAGTGTCGTGGGGGGCTGGAGTCTATCCCAGCTGACTCAGGGTGAAGGCAGGTTCACCTGGACAGGTAACCAGTCTGTCACAGGGCTACACTTAGAGACAGACAACCAAGCACACTCACATTCACACCTACGGACAATTTAGAATCACCAATTAACCTCAGCATGTTTCTGGATTGTGGGAGGAAGCTGGAGAACCTGGAGAGAACCCACGCTGCACGGGGGGAACATGCAAACTCCATACAGTCATTTTGAGCTTAAAAAATGCAAGGGAAAGATGCACTATGGGGACCTTTGCCAACAAATGAGTTCATACACTTGGAGATATTCACATCCCAGCCTCCATCAGCTGTAAATAGTTTGTCAGAATCTCTGATGGCAGACACATTTTTTCAACATACCACGGTAGATATCATGTCACCCACATTTATAAGTAATGTTAAGATAAAACCACTTTGCTAACAGATATTTGCTACATAACAGTTGTTGATCAATGTAGCATAGCGTTCAGTTTTATTTCTATAGCACCAATTCACAACATGTGTCATCTCATAGCACTTCACATAGTGAGTAATTAACCCTCTGGGGTCTCTCCAGGTGTGAAGAGGAATGAATTAATGCTTCTGTTTGTTACCTAAATCATGTCATGTTGCTAATTTTATCACCTTTTTTCCTCTCTTTCCCTCTGAACTGATAAAAGTGTAAAATATCACTTGAGTAAATGGACTTTAAATTAGAAGCTTTGCTCAAATGTTTTTCTCTGCTGCATCTTCTTCCTGCAGTCAGTCAGACAGACAGTGAGGTAGCAGCAGTGCTGAAGTGGACATCTATCCACCTGATGTCTAGTTAAAGGCTATTAGAGTGGATGCATGCATTAGTGGCTGCCCGTGTTGTGGTTCGGTCCGACTCACCTGGCAGCTGCTGGCTCCTCCATGCATGAATCCGGAGCAGACCATGTTGTCGGTGAAGATGTGGGGGTAGGCGTTCCTGCAGATCCTGTCATCGATGATGGGCTGCCTCAGGCACTGAAGCCTGTCGGGGAAGTTGTCTGGAGAGAAGGAAGGAAGGGAAGTCTCGGTTTGGTTCTGCTTGTCTGGCGTCCACACAGTCACGTCATCCACCATTATGGGAATAATACATCTCAAACATGGAAGTAAGGTGGTGATAAATATGAGTAATGTAGTGATTAAATGATTGGTTGAAAATGAAAGGTTTCCTATTGCTAAGCTAACAGATCCAGCATCTCCTGTCCCTGATGCCTTTTCATTAAAATCTCAAGCTGAAGCTCAGACAACCTTTTCTTCACACCGTTGCAAACTCTCCAGTGCCACAAATGCTTATAAAGGCTAAAAAAAATCCTGTTTTTTATGTGCTGCACCGTCACCCAGCACATTATCCAACTTCCTGTACATGTCTGGACGCCTGCTTTGCTTTTTTACAGTCACTAATGTTGCATTCCCTTAATGTCATTAGATAAAGATGAACGTTGTGCAGCAGAACATGCCTCCAAGTAATAAGGCCTGTCCCTTGTGATTGGGCCTCAATCACGTCCACACAACGACAAGGTTGGGCTCTTCTGCTGCCTTTGAATAAGTCTGCCTATGTCACCATCTGCACTCACTGCCATTGGCGGACGTGTTGCCCCATCCGGACACCATGCAGTTCTCGTCGGGCAGGGGGCAGCGGGAGGGCAGGGCCACGGTCTGGACGTAGCTGTTGAGGGTGGCGGGCCGACTCAGCTTGATCAGCATGATGTCGTTGTCCAGGTTGTAGCTGTTGTACTGGGGGTGCTTGATCAGCTTGGCCGAGTCGATCCACTGCTCGGTGCCCTCGTTCACGGCGATGTTGTGCTCACCGAGACGGACCTGGACACGGCTAGGGGATAAGGGAGGAGAAACTTCTGTTTTTTGTGATTCATACATAGCATTTGTTTCTTGTACAAAGTGATAGCTGTGAAAGGTTTGCTGACATTTGCCACCGTAAGTTGCTGGTCGGACAAAAGATGTTAATATAAATGCAAGAATTGGCACTTCAAGATTCCTGAATAGAAATCTACGGGGGACTTCTGTAGCACTAAAGATGGCGGTTAACTGACACAGGTCCCGCCCCTTCTCTCCAATTAGTCAATCATTTGCTGAAGAGGGAAACATCCAGCCAATCATGTTGTTGCGCATGGGTAGCAAAAGTATAGGGAAAAAAATGCTTTTTATACCTGAGCTTAGCCTTAACTTTTATAGCGTTTTTTTGTGTGTGTGTCAGATTTGACTTGTAACTCGAAACATGCAGTTTTTATGTTCTGTGAGTGTTGAAGGTGCACTTATGGGTCTTCTGTTAGTTTAATTGTAGCAACTGGACCTGCTCGAGTTCCTTGAAGATGTTCCACCTCTCATCCAAGAGGCTTCATCAGTTCTGACTGACTAGTTGGGAGTTCCAGATACTTATATCCTTAAGGAGCCATTAACACCTAAGTTTCGGTTTCAATTGGGGGTTTGTTGCTCCTCCCCCGAGTCGTTAGTGCTCCCCCTGACAAAATGGGGTTCGTTAAGGTCTTTTGTGGCTAGGTGTGGATGTGGTTTCATCTTCATGAGGACAGATCTTAGTCTGTCCGAAGGCAGAGGACACCTGGTCAGGTAACCAGTCTATCGCAGCCGTAAGCAAATAAAACTCCAATAAATAAATCTGGTTAAAATGTACTAAACATACTACATTTTTCATGATTTTTCTTAGGTGCGAGCTGAAACCTCTTCTGGGGCACCACTAACTCCTCTCTGTAGGACAAACCCTCAACATGGCGATGTATTTGCTTTGTGATGCAGCTCGCATTGCACCACATTAGCTTTCAGAGGGTGTTTTGACTAGAACAGCCTTTTTCAAAGTGTGACCTCCTGCACTTACGACTTGTGGCAGTGAGCAGCAGACACCACCCACTGGCTGGAGATGAGGGACCCACCGCAGAAGTGGTATCCGGCGTTCAGAGACACCTGGTAGGGAACAGAGTGTCTGGGACACTCGTAACCTCCGACAACCTTCTCATCCTCAGCTGCAGCGACTAGAAGAGCAGATGATTCAGCAGGACGCCAGGAAAATCAGTGGAAATACTTCACAAGTAGCAGCAGAAAATGTAGAATTCCAATTACACAGAAAACATATAAACTGAGCTTTAGACAAATAATCTGAGTGAAGTATTTAAAAAAGAAGAGCGAAAATGTGTCTTACATGCAGCTCCGAGCAGAGCCAGGAGAACCACGGCCTTCATGGTGCCTGAATGTAAGAGAAAGCCCACGCTGCACTCTTTATATACTCCTATCCTGCACTTTACATTTCTAACTTCTCAAGGTCAGGAAGTTAAAAGGCAAAAAAAAAAAAAAAACCCTCTGCTATGGGAAAGAGCCATATGGCTGAAGGCAGCAGAAAGACCTTGAGTGCCACTTCAAGCCACTTTTGACTGAGCAGCGTTCTTGATTTGACAGTTATGTAATCAGCAATTACGTAATTTGCAGCCATCGACGCCTATTTATGCACAGGTGCTAATGAGAAACTTGACATCCAAAACATATTCATTGCAACTGAGCGCTTTTCGACTCTTTGACAGCAGCGTGTCAAGAAACAGATGTTTCCTGCAGAGTGAATGTTTATTCAGAAACATTTGAATCGTTGATGTGGCTGATAGCGGCTCACAGTCTGCAGGTGTCGCCGGTCTCAGCTCAGCCGTAGGCGTCAGGAACACTCAAGAGGTTTCTCAATAATCCATAGAAAGCCCGATAAGGCTGTTCCAAAGCTGCAGAAATGTAAAAACTGCAAGTACTAGCAGTTTCCAACCGAGGGGTCAGATAAGATTCTTGAATCTGAGGGACTCACTTCTGCATGACCAGTTAACTCAGATTATCATTAATTTTTCTTGTGGATGGCTGGAGATGTACAGGCCTCGAAAATATCGACATTAAAACAGATAAAAGGGCTGCATCATTCCACATGTGACCAGGATCCATCCATCCATTATCTATACACCTCACTAGGGTGGCGGGGGACAGGAGTCTATCCCAGCGGACTCAGGGTGAAGGTAGGTTCACCTGGACAGGTAACCAGTCTATCACAGGGCTACACTTAGAGACAGACAACCAAGCACACTGAATTACAATATGGTTAATTTTAAGAAAATTTTTCCAAATGATGTTCTGAAGGATCTATGGAAGGTTTGGCTCGGTCGTTTTTTTCCTTTTTAAATTTCTGTGGTGCGATTTTAAGTAAACCGACCAAATGTATCACCTGCTGTCGTATCGGTTTCTGGTAAATTATTGCATTATCAAATATTTTTTTCTTTGGTTCAGTGATCATTCTGGGTATTTACAGGACTTGATTTCCCCCTTCAGAGACTCATCCATCCATCACAAATGCTGTTTAAATGTAATTCATGCAGTGGATGGTTAAAAACACTGACCAAAAAAAAAAAGCATATTTTGACCAAATTTTTATTGAACATAAATAAAAACAAAAAGTTGTAGGTAAAAAAATATTTAACAGGTTTAGAAATTCTTTATACAACTATGTACAGGATCCATAGCGAGTCCAGAAGGTAACAAAGACTTGTCAATTATTAGTCCTACAAAACAGAACAAGTCCAGCGACTGAAGCGTACATCCGGTAGCTGGGCTGGTCGCACACTGAGCACAGAAACAGAAGAACAAACAGAAAGAAAGGTGGCCACCTATTCCAATAATAGTCACTGTTTATAGCGCTGATGTTCGACGTAATGAAACAGAACAATGACAAAAAGAGGAAGCAGTTTTTCACCAAACATGGATTTAAATCTAATCTTGCTTTATCACGCCTTTGAGGTAGTACACCTGTGAGAGACAAGAACATGAGGGTGCAAAAAAAAACAAACAAACAGCAGACGAACATCAGGATCATTACTTGGCAACAGGCTGGATTCCGTTATTCGGCCTACGAATAGAAAGTTAAAAGCTCAAAACACATTTATTTCCATCGGTTTGTTGAATATACATGTTTTGTTCAAATATACAAAAAGATCGATGAGGGATTGTGCAGAGAAGGATCACTATGTTCACGGAGGAAACGCTCCCTCGTAGGCCTTAAAACACACAAACAGCACAAAATTGCAAAGACCGTAATAAAAGCATTTAGATCTCTGCCGTCACAAATAAAAACCGGATCTGATTGGAGAAAGAGGGACAGAAAAAGAAAAGAAGTTTGGGGTAATAAAACTACCTGTTGGGATAAATCGTCACCTAAAGTATCGGGAGTCCCTGCTCGCGAGAGTTGTGATGACGTTAAATCGTAGCCGAGGTGCTTCTAATCTGTTTGTTCTGAAATAAAAAGAAAAAGTAAATGGTGTCCTGCCGGAGGAGGTTGTGTCAAAGTAAGGTGCTGAATAAATCCTCCTCCTCTGTGACCTTGTATTTACAAAGACACTGCACAGTAACAACTGCGATCGGGTGGTTTTAGTTTGCACCGCTGGCGGCAGCCGTCAACGCTGTTAAACTGAAGGATGGTATGAGACGGTGAAAAAGCAGAACTGGACTTCATCCCGAGCTGTGACATATGGCTCTTATCTGGTTCCTGTGGGCAGAACCGAACCTCGACTCATCTGTAAACTGAAACTTCCAACCTTCTGCGTGTACCTCCTTCTTACGTCACTTTCTTCCTCCACCTGAAATGCATCAAACATGATGGCTCATGTGGTTCTGATGTGTGCGCGCTGATGATGATGATGCTAATTGAGGAAGCGACGGCAGCGCCTCGCCCCGCAGTTGCAGTGCAGCTTGCTGCTCTCGTCCTCAATGGGGAACTTGTAGTCGTAAGTGAGCTCCTCGCCGCGGTAGATCTTCCTCAGGGCAAAGATGACGATGTGCTTGCGGCCGTCCACGTTGATGACGCGGGAGTAGCAGTTGGGCTCGCACGAATGGTTGATGAAGCGGGCGGCGTTGCCCTGCATGGTGGCGTCCACCACGTCGAAGTCGTCGATGCGGAACATGTAGCAGCCGATGCCCTGGTGAGCGGCGACACACAACCACAGACACACAACATTAAAGTGGTTTTCACATTTCCAGAGCTTTCAGCAGCTCAGAGCCTCCTAAAGCCTCGATTATACTCCCTCACCGTGGACACGTAGTAGTTTTGGGTTTTTTTTCCCCATTGACTTCCTATTTGAAGAAGTCCGTCATTACGTGCACAGAAGATGAGAGCCTGCATATTCAATGCATGCACATGAATGTCCTTGTAGTGCACCAGCCTCACAGGCACACATCTCACATGGACTTCCTACATTATGTGGACCAGAGTGTGGTCATGGAGGGATAATGTACAACCGAAGATTTTCATGAAATCAACCCCATTTTTGATACAAACAACGACTGTATGAGTGTATTTGGTCACTGGATTTTCAAAGTTGACTCTAGTGACACTTCTAACCATCGACTCTGAAGAACAGCAGCAGTGTTCATTGTTTTATTTTGCCCCATGCTTTTGTGAATACAGTTGCAACTCGATAATCCGACATTAAATGTAAAACCGTCTGTTATGTCGGACAGCAAGGCTGTCGGATTGTCAAGACGGAGGTCGAGATACAAGGAGGGCTTGATGCTGGAAGGCTCATTTGTTCTGGTCTCTGGATATTCAGGCCCAATTAATGATGAATATCATTATATACATATATACATATTCAGTGCAGTCGGGGGACACTTCCACACCAGGGGAGCGCTCCGACGGGGTGGAAGTGTCCAGAACACACAGGCAGTACTTGGCTGCTGATGCTAGTTTAGTTAGCGGTCACACTTCTGTTTCCACCATCGGTGGCGGCGGGGGAGTGGCAGATACGCTCCACCGTTACCATCCATGTTTACTTCCGTAAACACTGAGCACGCTCGCTGCGTGTGACGTCGTCGTGTCCTCTTCTGCACATGCGGGACACTTTTGGGTCGTATGAAGTTCACACAGCAGATCACATACAAGTCGCATTTAACTGGAAATGTAAAGGAATTCACAAAGAAATCCTCATTGAGCATCAAGTCCTGCAGTGTGAACGTAGCCAATCTGTGGGATTGTTCAGTCAGATAAAACGCCATTATCCTGATTGGTGACATTAAATGTCATTTCGGAGTCAGAATCCAAGGCTGTCGGTATGTTAAGGCTGTTTTTAATGTTTGTTTTTCCTAAAAACCTGTCAGATATCAAAGTTTAGGACTGTTAAGGGTCAGATTATTGAGTCATGACTATACTTCATTTGCAAAATGCGACCCGACTCTGGCTGCGTCTTTTGAGCAGAATCAGTGACCTGTAGGAAGCAGCCTTCATGTTTAGAACCTGTAGCTGCCTCTCTTAACAGTAAAACAGTTTGCTGGTCCACTCCTGCGCTGTATTCACACTTGAGGAATTCACAACAACTTCCTTTCTGCTGCTTCACATTCTATCTGTTCAACTGGCAAAAGTCACAGGAAACACAAAAGGCAGCTCTCCACTGCAGGATCTTTTGGTAGATGTTCTTCAAGTTTAACCAATCGGCATCAAGACCCAGAGCAGTTTTTAAGACACATAAAGGTTCGAGCTGGCCTCATGTGGCCCACAAGTCCCTGCAGTAGAAAATGGCCGACGTATTTGTCACAAACTCATCAATAAAGCAAGACGTTGTTGAGGGACGCAAAGCAAGAGAAAGAGGCAGCCTCACAACAGCTATCAACATAAAAAGGCAATTATTGACTGATTTCTTTCTTTTAACTGCAACAGATTCACTTTTCTTCTGTTGTGTTGCTGACAAAATAGGTGCTCGCATGAAAAGTTTTGCTCCTACAGAAATAAACAAATAATGAGGCACAAATGACGATGATTTCCGGGTGTAACTGTGTGATGTGTTGACTCACCTTGCTGTCATAGTATTTCTCCCTCTTGTCGGTCAGGACAGAGCGGATGACTGTGCCGGCGTACTCGATCACCATCTCTCCAGCCTCGATGTTCCTCTTGCAGAAAAGTCCACGGCCATGAATCAAAGATCTGTGAGGATTGCAGAGGAGTAAACGGTTAAATGTACTTATTTTGGACATTAATACAGCCTCTGCTTTTCTAATCATGTTTACCTGTAAACTCCGACTGCTTCCTTGGAGATTTTCTCCAGGTGTCTGAATCTCATCGCCATGGGAAGCTCGCTGCTGGTGGCTCGCCTGGTGGAGAGGGACACGGCAGAGTTTGTCGCTAAACTATTTCCCTTTAACAAATTTAGATGCTAAAATAAACGAAAAAGGAGCACACATTTAATTTAATTAACCAACCTTGAAGATTTCAGAGGGAATTCATCCTCCTCCTCATCAAAGGGGCCGACGATGTCTGGGAGCTCTCTGTGCTGCGATGCCAGGAAGTTGAACATATCAAAAGTTGCTTTCCTAATTAAAGAAGCACAAATGGGACAAAGCTGTGAATTTGTAGAGCATCTCGAGGGGCAGAACAAAAAGAAAGCAAGCAACATGCTCTGAATGAACTAATTACTGCTCAGGAGTTTTTTTCAAAGCAAAAAAACGATTGTGATAAAGCGTCGGCACCTCGTGTAGACTTCAGCTCGAGCGCAGCCGCTCGGGTTGAGGGGAAGCTCTTCCTCAATGTCATCGCAGCGGTGGAAGCGGAAGCGGTGGTGTTTGCAGTTGGCGGCACCCTGCAGCTGCTCCAGCAGGAAGATGACGGCATCGTGGACGACACCGAGCACCCGCGGCCCGCTCATCCCACCCAGAGGCAGCTGCTTCAGGTGGAAGCCCGCTCGAGCTTCAAGGACGCCGTCAATCACGGCGCGCCAGGCGACTGAGGGAGGGGAGAGAGCAGACGGTGGTGAATGACAGAGGAGATGTTTGTGTTTCTTAAACTGCAGTCAGGCACACAAGTAACATCAAACGCTAGAAACACCAGGAAAATGCTGCAAGAAGTCAAACAGCAGCTCTCACCCTCTATGCTGTTGGCTTTGACGCTAAATCCGTCATCGCTGGTGATTTCAAAGCGCAGGTGCGGCTGGTTCATGTACGTCCTCTTCCTGTATTTGTGTGCCGGTGTGTCTTCTTCGGAGCTGAAACCTGCAGAATCATTCAGAGCATTAAAGTAAGGATTTAGCATCTGGAAAGGTTTCTATAACGACAGATTTAACATGTGAAAAAGAAAGATTGTGTGATCATTTGTTCATTTACAGACAGAAATTTAAAAAGCTGTTGCAGCTAATGGAGATCCAAATGAATAAAGATTTACTGTTTAAACACAGACCTGAATAAGGGCCCCACTCAGAGAGGTCTCCGTGGCGAGCGCTGACCCACATGTGAGTTTTACCCTGAATGTGACTGTTGGCTTGTGCTGATGCAGGTGGACTCACAACCTCAGGACGCCTACAGAGAGACAGACAAACAAGCGAGTGGATTAACAAGTAATTCATAAGATCATTGTCATACTTTTAATGAAAAAGTAATTTACACATATTTACTTCACTGTTAATTGTAAGAAAAGCGTTGATTTCTTTAAAAAAAATACTGATTTATTGAATTATATACATACAAAATAGCAGTGACATATTTAGCAATTCACATGACAATGCCATTGTGCCATGAATTGTAAAAAAGAAAAACTAAATTGGATTTCTATTATTATTTTCTTACAAAAAAGAAAAACAAAAACAGAAATTATTTTATAAATTTGTATATAGTTGATTTTATATCAAATTTACCTTTTCAAATTCATATCTGGAGCCTATGGTCACATTTTCAACCTTCAAAATGCTTCGTTAAGCATGTTTGTGGTTTTTAGTAGAAAAAAAAAATACATTTCTTCAAATCAGATTTTAGATTTTTTGTGTGTTTTGGAGCCCAAAATGTTAATATAATTGCTCAAAGTGAAAACATAATAGTCAGATCATATAGGTGATGTGCTGGGAAAAAAAGCTACCAAACATGGTCACAGTGAACATGTCTTACATAAAGACAAAACTAAACGTATGCAAAAACAGCCACAACAGGCCTCTAAGGGTAAAATAGATCTTAAATTGTTGCAAATGCCTTTTTTCCTTTAAACTGGTGGTTACCTCCAGTCAGAAAACAAGATAGCAAGTTTGGAAATCAGTAAATTTATATAACCAAGAATTTACCTTGAAATCACAGAAACAAAGTCCTCTACAAGGCCACCTTTGAACTCACCTGGAGGGTGTAGGAGGAGGTGGAGCGGTGATCCTCAGCGGCTCTGGCTCAGGCTGGTTCTCCTGGTCCAAGTCAAGAACGTCTTTCAACGACGGAGCCTTCATTCTCACACCGCTCGACCTATGAAAGGAAATCGAGGGACAAGGGTTTATATTTTGCCATCTTTCTCAGCTCTCTCCTGTAAGCTGCTGAAAGCATCAGTCGGGTTAATGCACTGATTGCTGCTACCTTGGACAAACAATGTCAGACGAAATGCTTTTAAAAATATATTTTCTCAAGGTTTAAGAGGACAAAAGAAGTGTTTTCTATGGCTACATATAAGAACATTATGCCGCTTAAAATTATGAAAAATTACTACTTGCAGCTCATATCAGAATGAATCCCAGTTTATTCTACTGAATCTTTTAATTATATGCCAGCATTCAAACCTGCATCTATCTGTTTCTTGTCTTTTTAATGTTGCAATGAAACAAAAACGAGAAGCTTGAATACCTGGTGTCATTAAGCTCCTCTTGCTCACTTGACGGATCCTTCAGGAAGTCTATCTTGGACTTCTTCCTGGACGGCCTCTCAGACGCTGATGACACTCTCTTGACTCTGACCTGGTGGCGCGTCTGTTCATTCACTAAACCGCCAGGCGACTCCGAACACCCAGCTGATGACCGATCCGAGTCTTCTGCATCGGCAACCTGGGAAGGTCTTCGATGTCGGGCTTTTGGCCGCTGAGTGTTGCTGAGAATGATGGGGGCTGTCCTTTCTGTGTCGCGGTGAGTCGCCATCGCTCTCTCGATGATAGCCTGGGCTGTGGTTTCGTCAGCGACTGAGAAATTGGCTTCGGGTCCAGTTTGCGCGCCGACAGCAGCTGTGGGAGCTGTGGGAGTTGTGGGAGCTGTGGGAGCGGCGCTGCTCTTCACAGGCACCACTCTGACAATGATTTTTTTCTCCGTTGTTGTGTGGTTAACAGCAGAGGAGACGTTTGCGGCGGAGGGACTGGAGCGAGGCTTTATTATGACCCGAGGGACGGAGTGATGCAGAGCGGTGCCGCTGTGGAGAATCTTAGCAATCTGGCTGATTTTGTTGTAGGCAGGTGAGTTTGTATTGAGCGACTGGTAAGTGTTGGATCTTGGGTCTTTGATCAGAATCTGACCTTGGCGGTTTACCAGCAGGACCTGCGGGGAGGGGGTCGGGGGTGAGTTGCCCGCACCGGCCTGATTCTGAGTCAACCCCTGCTGCTGACCTCCTGATCTAGAGCTGTCCAAGCGGATCGCGATGGTTCTGCCCCGTGTAGCACCCGGTTGAATAGGTAAAGCATTTAAACCGTTGATCACGATGGGAGACGTTACTGGACGCGGCACCGCACAGTAAGTGGCGGCAGCAGGGGAGACAGGCACGTTATTTGCGGTCTGGTGTCGAGGAGGTAAAGGCAGTTTGAGTTTTGGCTGCTGGTGTGGAAGACCGGAAGGTTTTGGCAACAGACGCTTGAGGTTGGACGCGGGATGTTTCGTCTTCACTACGATGGTTTTCATCTGCGTGGTGGGAGATCTTTTGGTTTTAGGCTCTGGGGAGTAATCGGGATCAGTCAAATCATCTTTGAATCCTTCTACCGAGTCAGTCGATGAGCTACTGTCGTCTTTGTCGTCAACCACACTTCTACTCGGGTACGCTAGGGAACCGTCCTCAGCAGAAACAAAATGGCCTGTCGTTGAATCCAAAAACACGTCATTTTGAGAAGCCGGTGTTTCAGTCGTCACCAGGACCTCTTCCCCCTGAACCGACAGGTCAGTGTTCGAATAACCCGATTCGAGAAAAGCAGATGGTGAAAAACTTTCCTGAAACTCTGGTTCAGTTGTTTCTTCATCAGCGTTTGGCTTTTGCGTGTCGTACATCGACTCCAGCCTCTTGAGAGCAACCGTTAGTTGTTTAGTAGGTGTGCTATGATTGGCGTGAATTTGAGCTTCTTCATCTTCTGTGTCCTGAGCTTCGTCGTCGACCACCTCGCTCTCTTCGCTGTCCGAGCCACCATCCGCCCCGTCCAGCTGTGAGATGGACTGCGCCGACGGGAGCTGACCTGAGGAGTCCGAGCCGCTTGCTGCGTCACAAACCACCGTGCGTGAGAACTTGAAGTATCGCCTGGAGTCTTCATCTTCAGAGTCATTCTGCTGATTATCGTCCTGCATTTCCACATCCTGCACTACACCTTCCGCCTCTCCTCTGCTGCCTTGTGCTCCACAGTGAAGAGCCACGTTCTCAGTGAGCAGGGACTCGTCAAACTCCAGCTTTGCATTCAGCATGGAAGCTACGGCCACATCCGTGTCGGTGTCAAACACAGTGTACGGTAGCTCCTGGGACATCAGGTGGGCTACTTCCTCCTCCAGGTTATCAGGGGCGAGCGAGATCCCGTTTGTTGTGGCCACGGCTGCATCCTCTGCCTCAGACGACGCCAGGAAGTCTTGGGGAACCTCGGCAGAGATTGGAGTGGTGATTTTAAAGTTGTGCCTTCCTTTGGGCGAGTGGGTGATGGCTCCCTGCCGAGGTGACAGGCCTGCAGAAAGGCTGGAGTTTGATCTAGGTGGAGAGCTCCAGACCGGAGATGTCGAGTTCTGTCGTGAGAGAGGAGGTGAAGCTGATCCTAAGGTGGATGATCTTGGAGGCGAGCTGAACAGGGCACATCTGGAGTGGATGGTGCCACCAGAGCGGAGGGTCATTGGTACAGACGGGTCACTCTCTGTCGGCGAGGAACTGCAGCGGCTTCTCGACGACAGCCTGCGAGGCCGACGGGTGTCTTCCAGGTCCCTCAGCGTCAGGATGTGGTGTGATTTGGGAGGAGCAGATCCTGACAGAGTGAATCAAACACAGCAATAATATATTTAATGGTTTGCTCTCGAGAACACAGCCAGACCTAAATCTGAAATCCTAAAACTCTTCTCACCTGGAGATGGGAGAGGTCGAGACGATCCTCCTGCTGGTCTCCTGGTTTGTGTGTAACCAGGACTCTTAGATCCAGGTGTATTGTGCGTTTTGGAGTTGGGTGATGGGGTGGTGGACTTAATTGGGCTGGATGAGGAGCTTAGGCGATCCGGTGACTCCATATCTGGCAAAGAAATACAAAATGTTCAACTGCAGTGCAACTGGTCACATATCTCAACCCGAAGTACTAAAAGCTCATCTGATTTTGTCCTGATTTAAATTAATCAATTACAAACTCTGTAGTTCCCCTCTGTCTAACTTAAGCATCTTAAAGCTAGCTTTGAATTTCTGGCCCACAGTTTTGGTCATTTGGTTCCCTCTCATCAAAGTTGTTTCAACAGTAAGAGCGACCCGTGTGATCCTGCTCACCTCTGTGGTGTTTGGGACTGTGGACTATGGTGTGGTTCTCTTCCTGGTCCCACCTCGGGTCCTGTTCCTCGCCAGGGAGAGGTGTGCTCACTTCTGTCACCTTACAGGTGTATTTGCAGCGCCTGCGAGGGTCCACAGTGCTCCAGTACAACCGAGAACATCTAGAGAGTGAAGAGAGGAAAATAGCTCTTACACTTTGCTTACATATATACACAGAACAATATGAGCAGCAAAATGATGTTAGCGGTCATACCCATCAGTCGTATAAGAAAGAAAGAGCACATCCAGCTACCGGGGTGGCATTTAAGCAGCCTCTTGCTAACAAATTTAGACTGACCCAAGCGATACCAAGCGCCACATATGTTTTATAGCAGCAGAAATGGGACCATACTGTGTTGTCGAGAACACTGGTTTGAAATACATCTTTGCGTCCCATTACTTTCAAGAAGCTTTTCCCTTTTGATCACATCTCTCAAAGTTTTATCCAAGCTGTTGCTCTCTGACCCAAACCCTAACCCTGACCAATAGGTCGACATCTTCAGCTTCTGAGAGTTGCCTGACAGTAATCGTGGATATGATACGTTTCTTATTTGAGAGAATATTTGTGCTGAAAGTGTTAATAAAGTTCTAATCTGAACCTAAATAAAGCTGTACGATATAATGACAATGACCACTTACTGATAACCAACAGGATACAGCATCCTCCCGTTTGACGACAGCTCTGACAACACACCCAGTTTCTGAATCTGCAGAGAGCCTGGAACAAATAGAAAACAGATGATATGGTTCAGCATACTAAGGTATACAGCAGCAACAGTTCAGCCCTTAATGGGGAGACGTGTCCTGTGCAGCCAGATATTCTTACCGATGGTCATGTTTATGGATTCTGGCTCAAGGCCTGTAAGAAACTTTCTTCTGAGATTGATCCCCTCGAAATCCACGTATACCCGCCGAGGGACTTCAAACCCTTTCCCAGACACGATCTGGAAAGAATCGCAAACAATTAATGCAATGTACAAAAATCAATAGATACAAGGGGTGAAAAATATACATTTATATAAAAAACAATAAAACAAAACAAAAAACTTGTCTCTGCACCTTTGTACTGACGAGATCCCTGTGTCTGTAGCAGTAAACTTTCCTGTCCTGCTGGAACACACAGTTCTGGGCTCGACCACACATGAAGTGGAAATTACTCTGGCAGGTGGCGAGACAGCAGCCCACCGTGGCTCCTGACTGCCCACAACGATCGCAGCGCTGGAGGATGAAGGACGAACACAATGATTATTAAATATTATCGAAACACTTTCACACAGTTTGATCACTGAGTTGAGTAATATCCATGATAACTGCTTGATTCAGTGATGTCTTACCAGGTGGCGCCCCCTTGAGACAGCGCTGTGCACCTGCAGAAGAGCACTATTCTCCTCATAAACCTCTGCAGACCACAGACAGCAGTTGACATGGGCCCACTCGTTCTGCCCCAAGTACAGGAGCCGTCCTGCTTCCTGTCAGGACAAAGATATAATCACATCACTTAATAAGAAGTAGATTTTGGTGGAGGATTGCAAACAAGGAAATACGTATAATATATCCTGACTCTGTAGCCACGTGTTAGATGTTTTTAATATGAAATACATGAAACAACTCTACGACTGGTCTGCTACAAGTTTGATTGTTGAAGAAGACCACTTTAAAAATGAATGAAATAACCTAAATGTTAAACATCCATTAGTTGCAGCCTTTGTAATGAAAACCAAAGCATGGCAGCTAAACTCACACTGGGAACAGAGTCTCCGTATTGCTGGCACAGGGCACACTGCCTCAAGTCTTCAGTCTTGGTCGACTCTGGAGGATCAAATGAACATATTTTAAACGGAACAAAGCAAAACTAGAAGAAAAGCAAATTTTTTTGCAAGTGCAAAAGAGAAACCTGCACAACTGTGATCTTTTTCTGCAAGAAATCATCTGCAGTCCAGAGGTGCTGACTAAACCACATTCCTGAGCTTGTCATGATACAGACCAGGCCACAATAGTTTCCATACCATCTGAATACAGAGGGAGGCTGTGCGATGCACCAGGCTGCTGTGCGGTGACTGAGGGCAGCAGAGACTCAGTTTTCCCCGTCTGTGGGCCCCTGCGCTCCTTGGCCTGGTATGTCCTCTCCAGCCACTGTGCATAACTGTGCTCCTTAGATGGTGGGAGAACCGCCTCAGGAAGCATGCCGCTAAAGAGCAGAGGACATAAACAGAGGCATTTGAGACACTTGTCCATCCACTACAAGTGTCCTGAGTGACACCTTAGTTTTTAGTTCACTGTTCTGGACAATCACCTAAAGCTTAAACTAGACTGCAAAGCTCTTGTCTACATGGAGGAAAAACTGGTCGAGGGGATAATGTTGAGTGTATTTACCTCGGGAATTCTTCAGAGAAGGAGTTCCACTTCTTTAGGTAGTGTGCAGGAAACCAACTGAAAACTTGCATCATCACCTGTTAGAAAAGCAGAACTCAAGTAAGACCAAATGTAAAGCAAAGACAGCGCTCATTCACAATATTTAACACATCTGGAGGCTTCACATTCCAGCCTGTCAAACGAGAGACAGTGACCATGAACACACAAGCAAGAAATAAATAGATTTCCACGAGATAACAGTGAAAGAGTGGGTTTCTAAAAATAAACAGCACAGGAGAATAAGAGGAGAGGGAAGCTCACTCTGTCATAGTGCACTCTGGACTGAATGGTCGGTCTCTGATCCTCGGGGAGAAGCTCCTCTTCCTTTAGGCGTTGCCTCATTACAAACGTGATATCCGCATGAAAGGCTTTCTGAGTGAGCGATCAGACAAAAAGGGTTTAGGAGCATCTCACAGGTGTGACGACATACTTGATTTCACTGCTACCAGGTGACGGTGAACAAGGAAACATGTCGCTCTCTATATTCTATTATTATCATCTAGCTTCTATTTCTATACTTCTATTGCCGACTACTTTTGTCCAGACAGTTGTCATGTGCTGGATTCTATAATTAGCTGATTAATAAAAACAATATACTCACGACTGAGGTGTAACCGCCCCTTTTGAACTTCTTCTCAACAGCTTGCAGATCACAGACCGGTTGCTGTCCCTTGAAAAACTGTGTGGGTTCCTGACACTGAAAGACAAAAAAACAATAGAACTAATTTAGTTATACATCTGAATTTATCATATCTTCAGAGGAGACATTTTAAGGATAAGCAGCTTCCTTTCATTTGTTTCCGTGCATTATTTCTCAGGCGTGCAGCTCTTACCGCTTTACAGATAACGAGGTGTCGGGTGCTGTTGGAACAGAGGAGGTCGATGAGCACCTCCTCCAGCCCGGCCGTCAGTCTGCTCTGCAGCCCCTCTTTCAAGCTGCTGCGCTCGGCTCGGTGCCGGCTGCAGGTCGAACAGGTGAAATCCGCTTTCTCTGGCTGACTTGACAGAAGCCCAAAAAGCTCCTCTGATACAACAAAGACAACATGAACAAAATGAAGGTTGTTTCTAAATCACAAGTTAAACAGAATCCTAACTTTTTTAATGTATTGGTTACATTTTTTGTTTTTAACAGGGAGAGACCTGCAGCAAAGGGGTCATAAGCAGGAGTCGAACCCACAACCGCTGCATCGTGGAACTATAGCCCCTGTTCATGGGTTGCCTGCTCAGCTAGGTCAGTTATAGGGACACCCTTGGTTAAATTTTTTACACAAGGATATACAACTTTTTTAGGTAGAATATGTGCTTTAATAAACATAATGTTTGAAATTCCTTTAAATCATTATTTTTTCATTAGTTCAAATAAATTCTAAAGAATATACATTGTGTTCTGGCAAGTGTGTGTCAATACCTTCTAAACTCTCCGCATTCTAATTAATTAGACATATGTGTTTTATTTTAGCAAACCTGCAATTAAAATAAGCGTTCTTATCTTGCAATCTCTTAAATAACCATACAGATGTTCTACTGTATAACCATTCTTCAAATTGTTCCACAAACTGTACATTTGGATAGAAAAGATTCTTATATAATCTTACAAAACAACAACAACAACAAAACAACAACCAGAGAGCAGGAATATATTGCCTGCAATGACACTCTTGACTCACCTGAAAGTCCTTCACAGCTGTAATGAATCCAGTGGCTGCACTCTGAACACCGAATCATCTGTGACGGTTGGCTGCTGCTGTCCTCGTAACATTTGTGGCAGACGGTGCAGAAATTCCCTGACATAAACATAAACATACAGACATTCATATCTAGAGCTACAACCATATTTGGGCAGGCCATTCTTTTAGACAACATGATGTGAGAAACCCCTGATGTCTCTGCAAGATTCTCACCTTTGTTGTGAAGAGAGGAGCAGTCGGGGCAGAGGTCCTGCTCGTGGTTCCAGGCCAAGTCCAGCGTCTTTCCAGGAGTCACGCCGCAACTTTTACACCGTATGCACGTCATGCACACCTGCACAGACACGACGCCGTCACAAAAAAAGCAACAGCACATCCATGATGCACAGTGTCATGTATTCTTGCCACTGCTCCTCCTTTGTGTACTTTAATTAATTTCAGGCAGGAAAACTCTCAATATCCTGAAGACAAGGATTTGTGTATACTACAAGACTATTAAAGCATTTACCCAGGGCATGCTGCAGTTCATAGGTTTCGGGTATGTTGGTCCCAAGCAAGAAGGGTGGTAAGAGGTTTGGCATCTTCTGCACTGCAACACAGGCTACGGATAAAAACACAAACAAAAAAAACACATAGTTTATGTGTTAATGAGTGGGGCAGCTATTTAACTGTCCCATATCATCACTTTTCCAAATTCACAAATATGGCAAACAGAATGAAGTGCTGCTAATGTCCAAAGTACAAAATTTTAAGATTAAACAATTCTTCAAAATGCTGCACGTTACACTTAAAAGAATTAGATAATATAAAGAAATTAAAAAATACTCATCTTTCCATCAATATGCTGCACTAAACAATCATTATAGGGGCAAAAACAACTCCAGAAGAATGAATTGTCAAGCTGCACACGTCATGTGCATTTAAATAAAACTCTGTTATTCAAATTCCTCGTACGGTTGCATCTGTAACGTAACTGAAGACGTGTTTTGTTTTACATCCCAGGTGATATTAAGCGGCGTACCTTTGTGCTTTTGCTTCTACGGCCACACACGTTGCAGAACTTGCAGCGCCTGCAACACCAGTTCTCCTTGTTTTCAATCAGGGGGCGCTCCTCAGGCGAGAGGCAGAAATTGTGGAAAGGCTCACAGCAGATCTGGCAGAATATCATCTGATAGAAGAGGGAGACGGACGAGTTAAAAATACATCCAGGTGAGTCTTTTGGGGCTTTTTTAGAGCCATTTTGGCTGCTTAAGAACAACGTGATGGTTTAGATGAACTGCAAGTAGTTTTACAACAATTAAACATGAACAGAAAAGTGCACTGTATTTATGAGTGATAGGTATTATCTTGCCACTCTGTTCGGGATTTGTTAATGAGCTCAATTACCTCATGTCTGCCTTTACTGGCGCAGAGCAGACAGACGGGCTGCGGAGTGGTTGGAACGGAGGTGAGAACGCTGAGGCCACCCATCAGCCATACGTTCTGGACAGCACAGTCCTCCTGGTAGACACACAGCAAACAACAGCATTAACAAAGTGATTCGAGTTGTTGTTTTTAGGGTGCTGAATTAGCTCTTTAACCGTTAATAACAAACAAAAAAAAAAAACTGCTTGGAGCATGGCAGGTCCTCCACATGCTGTCTCCTGGATATCGTCAATTTATACAGCCTTAAATACATGTTGTTCTTTTAGCTTACAAATTTGTGTTATCCAATAATAATAATAATAATAACAATAATAATAATAATAATAGAGCTATTCTGGACTTTTACAGCCAGTCATTTACAGTACAGAGCCTTCACATCTAGAAAGGGCAGCCAAATGTTAATCAAGCCCTCCAGATGCAACTACAGTAAAAAAAATGAGATGCACGTTTATGTTCCAATTATTTTACAGTGGTACAAATCATTAGGAGGAAATTAACAAAGCAGCCACAGCTAGCAGAGATGCCTTTTGAAGCACCTAAATTTACACTCATGAAGTGAACCTCTGTCCAGCATTTTAGCATCTATTAAGAGCAGCCGGCTCAGACAGGAAGCAAAGGGTCAATTGTAATAGTGCAAAGAAAGATCAGTGATTTCTTTGCTTGGACGACATAGCTCAGTGTAATAACACATGAGTAGAAGGTGGTCAGGTCGTAGACTGCATTGTAGCCTCCAGGTTTACAAAAAAGTGAGTCCAGAGGTGACTTAAACTTTCATTCTTTCCAATGGTCTGATTGCAAAAACACAACAGATTATAAAGAAATCTAAGAGAAAATTACCCCACTTCTCCCGTCATTCATCACCACAGTGAACATTTTCTTAATGTGTGTCCTCGAGTTGTCAGTCAAATCTACATGTTCATCATTTTGTACAAAAAATTTTTTATGCCATCTATGACTGCAAGTAACTTAGACACACACAGGGCCTGATAAGACACAACCAGGTCTCCATCTGTGTCTGTTCAGACTAAAATGCACTCAAGAGTTTTCAAACTAACACAGAGTCAGCAGCTTTTCTAAAACTGAATATCAGAACTCCCCAAAACATTGGAGCCACATGAACACTGGGTGTAAATTTAGCATAAATTCTGCATTTTGAAATGAAAATAAATTAGTGTTGATGTAGCCAAATCAGTTTTGTTTTGCTGAAAGGCAACATACGGTCAGTTCCACACACACACACACACACACACCGGATATTAGTGCAGACTCACCTTAAAGTCTACACGGATCTTGTACTTGTTCTGCAACAGGCCCTTTTGGGGAAATCCGTTAGTTAAACCCGTCAGGGTGTTCACTGACGTACACTCTGCTGGATTCTGGGAACGAAGGACATATTGTGGGTCAGTTGTTGGACAGTTTTGCAGCACTGTCTCTGTTACTGAAGAGTCCTCCTTGTCCTCCTCAGGCTGCTCCTCCCGTCGGTCCTCCCGCTCCTCCTCTTGCGCGCCCTCCTGTAACTCTCTGCCTGGATTGACAGTCTCAGGAAGCCCTGGCACAATTGTGTGCACAGTTTTCTTTGTGCTATCTCTGTTTGTCTCCATCCAAACGTCTGGGTGATGCACCTCAGACTCTGGTAGTCCCTGAGAACACAACTGTGATGAACTGTCTGTCAGGGCTGAGTGCAGTGTGGACTGTGGATGCTGTTGAGGAGGTGATGATGATGATGATGATGGTGGTGGTGGTGGTGATGGTGATGATGATTCAGGTTTGTGCAAATGCAAGGCTGTTTGCACCACAGACCGAGGCAAACGTTGCAAACGTAACAGCAGAGATTTCTGTTGAGAGTCTGTTATGGGATGAGGTGTAAGTGGAGAAGCAGGATGCGTTTCAGGCTGGGACAAATTTGGAGGACAGTTTATTTCAGGTGAATGTGAAATAGCGGGCTGGGTTACAAGCTGGGACAACAGTGGATGCGAGGCTAAAATATCCACACACTGGGGCGACAGAGCAGACTGCAGGATAAAATCAGGCAGACGGTATAAGTGTATTTGTAGCTGCCGCTGCAGCTTCGGCATTGGGCTCCTGGACGGTCTGGGTTCTGGGTAAGTTTCTCTGGACTCCATCTCCTCAGTGCTCTCCTGTGCCTGTGGAGGAGGGGACTGCCTAAGCCAACCAGCAAGACAGGTTCCAAAGTGACACTAATACTAGTGACATGCAGAGGCGGCGACCGGCAGCAGCCAAAGTGACAGAAAAAAGGGGAAGAGTACTACGACTTTCAGAGTAATGTGTTAGCCAGAAGTAGGAAGTTAAAAAAAACAAGATAAAGAAGAATTTAGCAAATGCAGTGGCAGCGGAGATCCACACGTAGAAGTGTGACTGGGTGTTAATGAGCGCGCTAGACAAGCACTCAAACGGGCCAGAAAACACAAAACCAAGCAGCTCAACAACTTGTGGTAGAAATCCAACTGCTATAGACTGAACACTGATCAATAATGTGTATAAATGTGTTCAACAAGACTGCTAACAAATCTGGTGTTCGTTCAAACAGTCGGACAGATTAGCAGCATGACCAAAATGACACGCTCACGTCACCACAACTGGAAGCTTATAAAGATGCTGCACCTGCTGTGTTACACTCAGAAAACACAAAGGAAGAGTTCAGACCAAGAGCCACAATGACTTAATTGTGCAGAACAGCGACAGTACACAAATCCTATTGTAACCGCTTCAACGCTGCCAGTCACCAAGCTTTTCTCAGTGCATCTATGTGTACATGAGATCTTTATAAAACCAGCACTGCTAATTTGCAAACCGGCAAATACAGACTGAAATAAAGCCAACACATTTCCTTTTTCCTCAGTCTTGCAGGAGTAATTAGGAATTTCAAAGCATTACAGAAGTTTCAAGCAACGCAGATCTCAAGGTAAATACGCAAAAATCCTACAACAATTCTTTCAAGCAGGGGGTGACATATTAGTTTTCTTCTTTTTAGAATTGATTGCAGATAAAATCATTTCAAAATGAAGTCTAAAGTTGGAGAAAAAATGTTGAGAAGTTCCCTTTTAATTAAACTTAAGTACAAGTGAAGTTTTGTGCCGGAGTTTCTGTTGGATTTGATTTTCACAGCAAATCTCTTCCAAAGCTACTGATCGGTTATTGAGGTTTAAAATCACAGCCGAAGCAAAACATATATTTGTCAACCCTTACTTGCAAGAAAGAGGAGTAAGCGGATAAACAAACTATTGCAGGAAATACAAGTTTGCTTGATTAGTTCAGATCTGAGAGGTCAAATGCCAGCCAGGATAAGCGGAAGCAAAGAGTCACAGCCAACAATATACGACAGAGCAAAGAGCTTTTCAACAGTGAAATCAGAGGTGTGAAGCAGTAATGTTGACCTCCAAATAGATTCGTTACTACTCTATCTTCATCATTAGGTGCAAATTTATGGATTGCCCCCTTCTAGTTAAACCTGAGAATTTCAAGTTACCCTTTAAATGAACAGAGCGACATTTTGAGAAATATTTTGAGAAGAAAATCTGTACCAATCTACCCTCCGCTTTGCACTAAATACTCTATAAAGTACTGATTTTTTTGCTGTTTGCAGTCACTTTCTGGAGTCTTGACATCACCATGAAGTTGCAAAGTAATCAGCAGACACTCCAGGAAGTAAAACAGACACAACAACATGAAATGACTTTCCCCATCTTCTTAAAATATGAAGATACACATCTCAAAACCCTGAGCAAGAAGTCTAGTGCGGAAACACAGAACAAGTTAGCCAAAAGCAGAGACGCTAGAAGAACACGCTGCCTAAAACAGAGACTCGTGTATATCATGCTGCTTTAAAAAAATAAAAAATAAAATAAAAAGCATGCTATAATGTATTATGAATACGTCTTAATCCATCCATAATTTATTAAACGGTTCAGCACATGCAGAGTGTCTAATATGAAGCTTAAAGTTGGAAAGAGGAGATTAGTGAGGCTGAATTTGAAAGATGGTATTAGAGTTATTCATTACTTCAACTCTGTAATTGACAAAAAGTGGGATGCAGACCTGGGCAGAGCATTGTTTGGAAATAATTGCTGGTGTTTAGAAAGCTGTGATTTGACTGTAAATGACTTTGTTGTATTCAACTGAATTTTTTTTCAAAATGTCTGAAAATCCACCAATAAGAGCAAAAACTATTTTCCAAAAAATACCATTGGACCCAGGCTTGAGTAGGTGGTACATTAGAGGCAAAGGAAGAAAACCTGCTTGACGCTTTTACCTTGTAAGGTCTTGGTCTGCTGCCAGCTCCTCTGGAGAACGGCCGACGATTCTTCACCGCCTCGGTCGGCGTGTCGTCTGGCAGCAACCCACCATCTTGAGCAGCAACTTCTCCAAAATAAGACACAAAATGTTAAGACACAATTCTGACACTGCTGGTGGCTTTGAAACAGAACACTCTCTGCTGGTTGAGAGAACTGTTCCTTCTAATGTTGGTATATTATAAACCAAGTGTTTGCTTCAATGACAAAAGTGGACAGCTTCATAAACACTGAGCTTGTAAAATACAGCCGTGACTTAATAATCTGACCCTTAACAATCCTAAACCTTGCTCTCCGACAGGTTTTTAGGAAAAACAAACGGAACCCAAAAAAACAGCCTTAACATAGCGACAGCCTTGGATTCTGACTCCGACATGACATTTAATGTCACCAATCAGGATAACGGCGTGTTATCTGACTGAACAATCCCACAGATTGGCTACGTTCACACTGCAGGACTTGATGCTGAATTCAGATTTTTTTGTGAAATCCATTTTTCTTGTGAGTTCGTTCACATTTCCAGTTAAATGCGACTTGTATGTGATCTGCTGTGTGAACTTCATACGACCCAAAAGTGTCCCGCATGCGCAGAAGAGGACACGACGACATCACGCGTAGCGAGCGTGCTCAGTGTTTATGGAAGCAAACATGGATGGTAACGGTGGAGCGTATCTGCCACTCCCCCGCCGCCGCCGATGGTGGAAACAGAAGTGTGAGCGCTAACTAAACTAGCATCAGCAGCCAAGTACTGCCTGTGTGTTCTGGACACTTCCACTCCGTCGGAGCGCTACCCCAGGGTGGAAGTGTCCCCTCTGATCACGCCGAATATTAATCATTAATTGGGCTCAGAAACGTGCTATTGGGACCAGCCCTACTATTTATTATAACAATTATGAACAATAATTAACAATTAATGAGCCTTCCAGCATCAAGCCCTCCTTGTAT